CCCCTCCCCTCCTCAGGTGCTCCCCCTTGCTCATGAGCCCCAACATTGCAATACTTGGCCCTTTGCCACTCTGGAAGACTTGGAGTTCTTTTGCTTTTTCATTCAAGGAGGCAATGCTCTCTCCTGCCCTCTCCACTTGGAGTGCTCATCCCCTAGACCTCCAAAGATGACTCCTTTTCATCCAGTTCTCTTTTCAATAATCACCTCCTCTCCTAGGACTCTGTCTCCCCGACCACACTCTCTAAAACAGCACTTCACTCTATGTGACCTGGAGGTGTTTCTTTACTCCTTTAATTCTCACCTTCCCCACTAAAATATAACTTCCAGGATGACAGAGGCTTTGTCTTGTTTGTTACTATCTGCTCCATGCTTAGAATAGTGCCTGGCCCGTAGTCCCTGACACACACAGTAAACATGTTCAAGTTTGGAGGGAAGGAGGAAATGAAGGGAGGGAAGGAAGAACCTGGGAGGGAGGGATGGAGAGAGGAAGGAAGGAAAGAAAGGTTTGCAGTCCCGCTACTCAGTTTAGAGCTGAAGACAAAGCCGTGGGGCCTGGAGGCTGTCCACGTGCGTCAGGAGCACCACCCTGGGTCCCCTCCTCACTGTAACCAACAGGATGCTTGTTCCTAAAGCACTTCCAGTTCTTCACCTGAAAGGCTTGGATTCATGCACCACGATTCTACGTGCTGTGATGCAAATACATTTCAGAATATTGTGAGGAGTAAAGAAAAAGTGCAGAATATATGGCTGCAATAAAAAGAGGAAAAGAAGTGACAAGTAAAGGGGCGAGACCTGAATATTAAAGGCAAAAGCTTCAGTACAAAAGATCAGCTGCGTATCCAAGCGCAGAGAAGCAGATGAATGGGTGTGAAGAGCGGTTAGTCTGAAAGAGTCTGGAGCTTTTTAACGAAAATGTTGTGAATTTTAGGTGGAATAAATTCCACATAGGCTTTCACACAGGCTGAGCTATGCTACAGGGACGGTGCACGAGGGGATCTGCCTCGGGGAGCCCAGGGTCTGCTTCTGTCTCATCTGAATGATCTTACTAGATATACAGTAACGTTACTATATGGGCATGTTCCTTAAAGCAGGAATTGTTCCCTCGATAACGAAGTGGGGAGACTCACGTGGGAAAGGTATTAAAACTATCGCTCACTTTCATGATGACTCTAATCCCAAAGTAAACGCCCGTGTGCCGCCGGAAAGCAGACAGACGATGATTACAGCGCCTACCTGGCGAGAAGCTTGCCAGCGTCAGCCTAACTGCCCGTGGAAAAAATTGCACTTTCTTCGGAGGGGCTGAATGATCTGAATATAAATAAGCAACTCTTTCCGCCTGTCAGTTACTCAAGAATATTTCCTATTGTCTCTTTTAATGACTGCTCATTACAGATGAGTGTGAGTGAGCGCATTTAATCAGGGTAATATGGGATCATCGTCATGTGAATTTCTTCACATCGGGACTTGTTCCATCTGTTCCAAGCCATTTGTCCATGTAAAACTGTCACCATTCTGAGCTGATGACTGACAGATGAGGCCAGACATATACGTTTTTCATCTCAGAGCCAGAAACTCTCTGATGTGTCCTTCTCGCTAAAACCAACTGCTTAAGAGACTCAAAGGGCTTCTATATTTAGGAGCGTTTTCCTCTGTTTGGTTTGTTGCATTGCTCATTAAAACATTTAGCTCACTGTTGCTCAGCACAGCATGATGGAGGCCCGTGGTTATTTTGATTGACGAGGTAGAATGCAGGGAGAAGGCTGGATAACATGACCCCGAGGTCCTCACATCAGCACTGAAATGCAGCCGCCCATGGGGTCTGAATGGAACATTAGTTTAGCAGCCACACAAGTGCTCCGCTGCCTGGACAGACATCTCTTATCCAACCACCCTTCGGTGTAAGAAATACAAGTCCCCGGCGAGTTGGTGGCACTTGTCCAGAAACGGTGTGCCTTCGGCAGCCTTTGTGTGTGCTCACTGAAGGGATTAGTGATGGAAATTATTTAATGAAAAAAATGCAGCTTCAGCCTCATGAATTTTTATTTTTTACTCTGTGGGATTTCTGCGTCAGAAAAGCTGTTCTTCGTGAAACAAAGTTCTCCGTGAAGAGTTGCCTCTACTCCCCAAGCTAGTGCTAACAAAAATTATAATAGAATATTTGAGAACCAAATATCCTTTCTAGATGCTTGAATCCCACAGACAAGTGGCATGTTAATAAATAGGATTGGACACAGTTGTTTCCTTTAAGTCTTTGGTGTACTATGCATTATCTCTGCTAGTTTGCTGTCAGTACAGAAAGACTATATTACTATGCGAGACTCAAAATAGAATTTTTTTCACTGTTCTGCTTAGTTTTACTTTTTTTTGAAATGTTGAAATGCCCAGACCATGCTGAAATGCTCAGAACGTAAAGGTCTTGCAATATTAGAGCAACAGGTAAGAGCTGGAGGCTGGTCTTACGATGTGATGTGTCTAGGAACAGAGAGCTAGAAAGCGAAAGTTCTCTTTCAAAGTAAACTTGTAATATTGATTTCCTTTCCTTTGTTATGAAAACCCTTATTTAATTGAGTTTGGTTCTACCTGACAAATGCACCATAAAGCCGAACACCAAACGAGTGAATGCATGCTGCAGGCCCTGGGGCTGGCCCTGCAGGCAGGGGCTGGTGACCAGCATTTGGCAGCGGAGTGGCAGGCGCCGATAGAGGTTTGATCGAGAAACCACGGCAAGAGTAGTGATTGCTCTTTCGAGAGTTCTTGGCTTCATTATTCCATTTTGCTTTTCCAGCCTGCAGAACGCAACACGGGGAAGCTTTTTGGCTCCTTTTGCTTTGCACCTGAGGGAAAAGAACAAGGCTTATCTTGATGGTCATGCTCGACTCTGGACCTCTTTTGGAAGAATCCATTCATGAGCTGCCTCCCTCAGTATCTCCTTGAAGATGTTCCCGTTTGTTCCCTCCATTGCATTGAAGCTGTGACAAGAAGAACAAAGTGGGTCCCACGCTGCACAGACATCACATATTCAGAGAAGAATGACAAGTAGCTCACTGCTAGTGCTTTCATATGGTTTTCTTTCCAGTCTTCTAAACCTAAGATTCATCTTAAGTATCCCGTATGACACCTTTGGACAAAGTAACGTGTATCCATAAGGACATGTGCTTCATTAGGGGATCTGCTGGGGACGTTATGGTCTAGTGCTAAGTTGGAAAAGCTTCACTTCCCCCAACATTTAATAAATTCTCCCCCACTTTGTGCTCTGGTGGTGAATTGTGCAAATATCTAATTTAGTTTGATGTCACGCTATACACATGGCTTGCTCTGCATTTGGTATCTGATTGCGTGGAGGAGAGAAGCTCTGTTCACCTCAATTCCCACAGTGTTTAAGGACAGTGGTGCTTATCTGGGGGTGATTTTGCCACTCGGGGAACATTTGGCAATGTTGGGAAACATTTTTGGTTATCACACCTGGGGAGGGGGTGTACTATGGGCATCTATCTAGTGGGTAGATGCCAGGGATGCTGGTAGACATCCTACATCGCACAGGATGGCTCCCTCCCCAGGAGAACAAAGAATTATCCAACCTAAATATCAACAGTGTTGAGACTGAAAAAGCCTGGTTTAGCATAAGACCTGGCACAGTATACATGTTAATAAATGCTCATTTAATTTTTCCCCAATAGTCTGTAGACAGTTATAACAACACATTCAATCATGTACCTTTTATCGTTACTTCTCCCCTGGAACAACAAGCTTGTGTCATAAAATTCTCATCGTTTTGAAAAAATAACCAGGAAAGGGTTTCAACTCCTGTATTCTGCAGATAACTGCTGTTGTGAATCGTGCCGAGTGATTCTCTTTGCTGTGAATTACCTTCCTTTAGGCCTTTGACCTATTGAGTACACACATTTTTGGTGCTTTCTGTTTGTCATATATATTGTATTATGTAACTGTTTTGAGTTTTAGGCTGTCCTGAATTGCTCAACCACTGCATGTTAGAGAACTACTACTTAGGAGCCTTACGTTACTGAGTGTGCCGCATCATAAGAGCAGAGGTGACAATTTCAAAAAATATTTAAAAAAAAACACAAACATCAGGTAGAATCTGCAGGCACAATTAAATACTCATGGTACTGATGAAGGATTGAGGAACTTTGGCTGATTATGTAATAGAGGAGCCCTTTTCCTAGCCCTGAAAGTGTCTTGTTTCCACCATTTGCTTGTGATGATAATGTTGAAAGCTAAGTAGACCTGGAAAATGCAAAAGCTGTCACAAAGAAGCAAATAGTTACTAGAGTATCTCTCTCTTATTTGACTGCCTTGGAGCTAAATTGAGAAAACGGTGCTGTAAACACATGCCCGCTACCTTCCTGTCTCACTGCCTTTCTTGTTAGAGCCGTGTACCCCAAACCCGTTCTAATCTAGTGGAAGAAGAACAGAAAACTTGACGAATTCAAACTTTCCAAAAACTATAACTACATCAGTTTTTAAAGTAACTTATTTTTTCTTGTCAACATGTTAGAGATTTACATCATCGCCCATCTTATTTTTTCAGTGATACAGTTTCTTGTAGGAATTTTAGCAAACGGCATCATTGTGGTTGTGAGCGGCACAAACTTGATCAAGCAGAGGAAGATGGTGCCCTTCGACCTCCTCCTGTGCTGCCTGGCAGTGTTCAGGATCTGTCTCCAGATGGCCATCACCTATATGAATCTGGCTACTTTTTTCTTGGTTGAATTCACTCTGGTTCCTGGGAATTTTATAATTTTCATGTATGTACATGAATCAGAACTGTGGCTCGCCACATGGCTCAGCGTTTTCTACTGTGCCAAGATCGCCACCATCGCTCACCCACTCTTCTTTTGGTTGAAGTTGAGGATCTCCAAGTTGATGCCATGGCTGATTTTGGGGTCCTTGCTATATACAGCTCTCAATTCTATCTTCCAAAGTAAAGATAGATGGATTATTTCCCAAAATTTCTGGCTGAGCTTTTTCTCCGCAAATGCAACCACTCAAATCAAAGACATATCTGTGTTACAGTTTGCTCTCTTTGCCATTGAGGCCTCATTGCCCTTACTTATCTTTGTCATCTCTGCTCTTCTCGTGATATTTTCCCTGGGGAGGCACACCCAGCAGATGATGAACACAGCGACGGGCCCCAGGTACCCCCGCGTGAGTGTCCCCATCAGCGCCCTCCTGTCCACCCTGTCCTTCCTGGTCCTCTATCTCTCCCAGTACATGATGGTTGCTTTAGTCTTCTCTCAAATTCTCAAGATCCCAAACTTCATCTTTCTGTTCTGCATGTTGACGTTTAATTCATACCCTTCTGTACACTCTGTTATCTTAATTTTAGGAAATCTTAAGCTGAAACAAAATGCAAAGAAGTTCCTCCTTCACAGTAAATGCTGTCAGTGAGAGAGAACTTTGATCCATCCAAGAAACCCACGGCTTTATGAGTTAACAGTGCCTGTCCTGCCTCTCTCAGCCAAACAAGCCAGTCGTAAATACACAAAACATCATCTAAAGACTGTTTGTTGAACCTGAGGCATTTTTATGGATTCGCTGCTTTTTCAAGGGGTTAAACTGATTCTCAAAGCATAGCACATGTTGGTGGATTATGTCAATGTCAATGCCCTTATTGATATTATACTAATGTCCTACAAAATGTTACCTAATTAAGGAAGACTGGGTAAGTGGTACAGACATCTTTCTGTATTATTTCTTACAACTGCAAGTGAATCAACAATTATCTCAAAAGGAAAAGTTTAAGGAAAAAGAAAAACACATTTGAACTTGTGATGTCAGAAGGATGCACAAACGCTGGAGGGTCCCTGTGTGTCTGATGCCTAGCCTTAGATGATTTATCCTGAACAAAAAGATTACTGTTCATCTCTTGTTTTCCTGTACAATATTTCTGTTGCTTGTTAGTTACAGAGAATGGAACCATTCTTCCCCATCAGATCAGAGAAGAAGCCAGGGACAGGCTGGCCTTCTATGCCCTTATAGGCATGTTCACCTGCTCCACGCTGCTGAGAGCCTCGATGCTACAGTGAGATGTCCCATCGACCGATAAAGAGGCAGACGGGTGGAGAAAGAAGAGGAATGCAGGCCTGAGTCCTCACTTTCTGTTTCCCCCAGATGGGCACACGGAACAGACAATAGCCTACGAAGATGTTTCATTTTGCTCTTGTGTGCTCAGCTTTGAGACCCTTTCAACTGAGGGTGGCAGTTTGGAACTCCTATCACATTGCATGTCTTCCCAATGAAGCAACATCTGTAGGTGGGTGGGCTGGGGGTGTCTCCGTCTGCTTGAAGTCACAAGTGCATTTTCTGTTTGATGATTTTGGATGTTAAGATGTATATATTTCCCAAACAGCTTCAGAACCCTTTGCTTCCAGTAAAGTAAAAGATGTCCCTCAGCTTGGCTAAAGATCGTAATTCAGGTGTAATGATAAAATGTGTGTCGGTTTGGGTTTGCCAATCACCAGTAATGTGGATTCAAATACCAGTTTACTAGCCCAAGACAGGCAGGCCTGGTTGTACCAAACTAGCAGAGGTCTTTGTCCCTGAAGACGCAGGGCAGTATTTATCTTCTTGGGTGTGGGAATTAGCTCTGAGGATGATCTTCCCCACCCCACAGGTCTCATACTTCATTCCCCAAGGAGCAAAATAATAGCCTCCATCTTCCTGCTCTTTCCTTTTCCCACAGCCCCCTAGGTGGGAAGGTTTATAGCTAACTGCATGCTCAGGCAGCCAGCTCTGGGAAGAGCAGTTGGGTCTTGGAGGTGATTACTACCCCCGCTTTGACAAGGGACGGTGAGGGATCATGTTTATTTCCTGTACATCTCAAGTTCAGATGCCTGCTCCTTGAGTCATGGTGTGTCAGCCTGTAGGTGGATAGAGAGTGGGAGCAAAAACTTCAGGTCTCAAAAACTTCGGGAAGAAACATATACAACTCTCCTGTGAGTTTTTTCTTGGATACCGAATTCTGACTCAAGTTCACGCAACTCCTGCTTCAATAATGCTAGTTAATGAAATAAATATTAAGGTATGACTGTATACTTAAAATTTACCAAGAGTTATAAAAAATTATTCATGCTAAAGCAACCTATTCTAGAAACATTTTCACTGTCTACTTTCCTAGAAATACATTTCTTCCAGAAATGTTGCCCGGCTATTGTGATGACGGATATCACTAATTGCTCTCTTGTCGAAGCAAAACAGACTCAGCCTTCAGACTCCCCAGAGCCACCCTTATCTGGACCCCTTAACCTTGACAAATTGTTTTGGTCCCGCTCACCTAGCATGCGGTTAGCCTCTGTAGTGGTGCGGCATCTCCCCCCACCCCACCCCTGCATGTTTAGAGATGGACTGAACACTGTGGGCCCTGGGAGCCTTGGCTGTGGGGTCACAGCCCATGGGTCAGGCCAGAGGACTGCTGACCACAGGACATGATGCTCCAGGCTTCCTCCACTTCCTGTGACTCCCTGAGGAGATCCATCACCCTTGGCCAGCCAGTAGCAAAGGAGGATGGGCTACAAGGCAGGCTCCTTGTGGAAAGGAAGCCAGCATAGTATCCCATTCCGTTTCACATAGGTCCCATGAGCTGCCCCCAACCAGAGGACCAGTGTTTCCCCTTTGTGCCCCACTCTCCATTCTGACTCCTTCAGCGCCCACTCTCCAGGGATTCTCTATGATTTCCAGTGACCAAAAATGGTGACTCCAACTGAGAAAGCTAATCTATGTGCTTATTGAAAGAGATTTTTAAAAACATAAATGCGGCAACAATTTGAGTATTAAAAAACAAGTTTTAAAAATCTTATTAGCTACAGATGGCTTTTAAATTCTCAGTCACTCTTTAAATTATAATCAGTGCTTGATGATAGAATAATCTGGACCTAAAAGTGGCAGGAAGACGTTAGTGTTTAATGCCTACGGGTCTCCCTTAGGCTGACACCACCCGTTCTAGATACTTCAGAAAGCTCAATAGGATGCCCTTTGTAGGTTTAAGTACATTCATACTTGTCAGACTATGAATATTCTAATTTTAGGCTTGGAAAATATGGTTTCCATAACTTTTGTCCATGTAGACCTGCATCTCTTTGGGTGAGAAGAGGGACAGGTAGTCAGAAATATCCAAGAGAGAAGGAAACCAGGCAGATCATCCAAATCGACTTTGGCAATCAGTGGAATAACAGATGTTGTAGACAGATGGCACCCACATTGGAGAAAAATCCAAATGATGGGGGCAGGGAGACCCACATGTGATAAAGAGGGTCTTGTTAGGGAATGAGTTTGGAATTATATTAAAAGTTGTATTAACTCAAACTTAGTATCAGTGGTATATTCTTTTTAAAAAAATATTCTTTTGCCACCTAAGAATTATAAACTGTCATCTGAGACCTTTATGCCAGGGAAAAGGGTAGATAGTGAGAAAATCTGCCTCAATGAGTTGAAAACAAGCTTTGGGGAGAGTCAACATAAATTCAGCTTGTGGGCATTTGTTTCACTGCCTTTCTACATAAAGCTAGCATCTCTTTCTCCCTCCTTGATACATCAAACCATCTGAGCACTCCATACCTTTGCAGGATTAAATAATGATTGTTTTTAAGATGTAATGTAAACATTTGGCTTTATATCTGTGACATCTGGATCTACTTAATCATTTTGGCTTGGGGTCAGGAGTTGCTGATTTTATCCTATAATTTAAAACATATTCAAATCAATGAAGTGTGGGTTTCCTTTTTTCTTTTGGGTGTTTTGTGTCTATTTTAAATGTTTTTCCATAAGATCATCAACATAACATAATATTAAAATGTCAACTCAGATCTCTGAAAACATGTTTATTTTTAAAATGACAACTAACAATTCATTTTGTTTAGGCCTCAACATTATTGAGAAAAAGATACATTGTGACTCTGTTCTACTTTTGAAGTTGAAATGTATGTTCTTAAGTGAAATCTTTAGTTTCTATTTACTGAACTCTCTTCTTCCTACAGATTTGTATAAGTAATTCGATATAAGCATGCGCCGGTGCATAACTGAGTAGAGTTTGAATTTGGGAGCATCTATGGTCCCAGAGCTGGATTGGGCTCAGCACTTAGTAAGCACACTCTGAATGACCTAAATTCCAGACCAACTAGGGAAACTTTAAGTTATTCTGAAGACAAGCAGGTTGAAAAGGATTTGGAAAATAAGTTAAGTAGCTAAGAATGGGATGGGATAGGATTATTGTACTAAATAGGTGGAATGCCTTCTGACCATAAACCCACTCATTTGGACAGCAGATGCTGTATTTATGATTATAAATTAATAAGTTTTACTTCATTTGAAACCATGGCAGTTGGCTTCCAGAAAACATTGACCAGACGTGATCAGGAAGCTCAGTTTCATGATAAATATTCACCATTGCTTGTGTGCTATAATACTTGAAATTCTTAAAATACAGATTGTGACTTTGATCATGGAGGCATAATGTTCTTTTTTTTCTCTCTTTTTTTTTTCAATTACAGTATACATTCAATATTATTTTGTATTAGTTTCAGGTATACAGCATAGTGGTTAGACAATCATTTGCTTCACAAAGTGTTCCCCCGATATTTCCAGTGGCCACCTGGCACCATACATAGTTATTACAATATTACTGACTGTATTCCCTATGCTGTACTTTACATTGCTGTGACTGTGGTGTAACTACCAATTTGTACTTCTTAATCCCTTCACCTTTTCAGCTTGTCCTCTAACCCCCCTCCCCTCTGGCAATCACCACTTTGTTCTATGTATCTGTGAGCCTGTTTTTTTCTGCATTATTTTGTTCTTTAGATTCTACATATAAGTGAAATCATATGGTATTTGTCTTTCTCTGACTGACTTATCTCAGCTACCATAATACCCTCTAGTTCCATCCATGCTGTCAGATTTCATTCCTTTTTATAGGCAAGTAATTTTCCATTGTATTTATGTACCATCCCTTTTTTATCCACTTGTCTATTGATGGCNTGTCAGATTTCATTCCTTTTTATAGGCAAGTAATTTTCCATTGTATTTATTTTCCATCCCTTTTTTATCCACTTGTCTATTGATGGGCATTTGTGCCGCTTCCATATCTTGGCTATTGCAAATAATGCTGCAGTGAATATAGGGGTGCAGATATTCTTTCAAATTAATGTTTTGGGTTTCTTCACATATCTACCCAGAAGTGGAATCACTGGGTTGTAAGGCAGTTCCATGTTTAATTTTTTGAGGAACCTCTCCACAGTGGCAGCACCAATCTGCATTCTCACCAACAGTGCATGAGGGTTCCCTTTCCACCAGCACTTGTTATTTGTTGATTTACTGATGATAGGATAGCTGTTCTCACAGGTGTGAGATGATATTTTAAACGATAGCCTTGCTGGATAGAGCAGTCTTGGTTGTAGGTTTTTGCTTTTTATCACTTTAAATATATTTTGTTCCAGTCCCTCCCAACCTGAAATGTTTC